CCTTGGTGTCAAACATGAACTGTTAAGCTACAGTATTATTATAAAGCCGTGATTTGCCTCACATTTTTTTCAGGAACATTTTGTATATCTTAGGTTTCCAGATTACAAAATTTACTTAGTATTTGCATTTATAAAACTACCTAAGTTTATGCTACATTGAACTATTTTTATTTTTTACTTTAGACAGTTCTTTTTTTTTTTTTAAGATTTATTTATTTATTGGAAAGTCAGATATACAGAGAGGAGGAGAGACAGAGAGGAAGATCTTCCGTCTGATGATTCACTCCCCAAGTGTGCGCAACGGCCGATGCTGTGCTGATTCAAAGCCAGGATCCAGGAACTTCTTCCAGGTATCCCACACGGGTGCAGGGTCCCAAGGCTTTGGGCCATCCTCAACTGCTTTCCCAGGCCACAAACAGGGAGCTGCCGGGATTATAACCGGCGCCCATATGGGATCCCGGGGCATTCAAGGCGAGGACTTAAGCTGCTAGGCCACATTGCCAGGCCCACTTTAGACAGTTCTTAAAAAGTAAGATGGATATGTATTATTCTTAGATAACTAAAAGTAATATTTTTATCAATAATGACTAGGCTCAGTATAAGACTCTTGACTATAAACATCTTTCTTCAGAATTCTATAGAATTTGATTCTGTTACCAATTTATAGTGCAGAGCAGGGGCTGGCACCATGGCAACTAGTAGGCAAATTTTGTGCCCTCATATTGGCATCTCATATGGGTACCAGTTCATGTCCTGGCTGATATTCTCCTCATCCAGCTTTCTGCTTATGATCTGGGAAAGCAGCAGAGAATGACTCAAGTCCTTGGGACTCTGGACCCATGTAGGAGACCTAGAAGAAGCTCGTGCCTTCTGGTTATAGATCAGCTCATTTCTGGCCATTATGGCCATTTGTGGAGTGAGCCAGCAGATGGAAGACCTCTTTTTCTGTCTCTCCTACTCTCTGTTAAGTCTTTAAAAAAAAGAAAAAGAAAGAAACTTTAAAAAAATATTACAGAGTCATCTGAAGTTGGCTCAGTTTTTGTCCTCTAATTTAAAAATGTTGACAGAGCTTGGGAAAATTTGGCTTTTTTAGTTATTTTGCTGAAGGCCTGGTGTGATGGCTCAATTGGCTAATCTTCTACCTACTGGGATCCTATATGAGTGCCAGTTCATGTTCTGGCTGCCCCGCTTCCCATCCAGCTCCCTGCTTGTGGCCTGGGAAAGCAATAGAGGACAGCCCAAAGCCTTGGGGCCCTTTACCCACGTGGGAGACCCGGAAGAAGTTTCTGGTTTTGGATCAGCTCAGCTCTGGCTATTGTGGTCACTTGGGGAGTCAACCAGAAGATTGAAGATCTGTCTCTCCTCTCTGTAAATCTGTCTTTCTAATAAAATATAAATCTTAAAAAAAATTGTTTTGCCGAAAATTTAGTGAATCTTTGCATTTGCATGTAAGATCTTTACTCAGCTTAAGATGTTATTCATTTAGTATGTCTATGATAGGTTACCTTCTATTTGTTCTAATGGTATTCAGTACTTTCTCTTTATTTCATTATTTTCTTTTCACTTTCCTTTTTCTTTGCATTTTGGAAAAAGATCTTCCATTTTCTTGTACTTCACTGATTCATTTTTCACAGTTAAATTCTTTTTTTTTTTTTTATTATTTTTTTTTCTTTTATTGGAAAGGTGGATATACAGAGAGGAGAGACAGAGAGGAAGATCTTCCGTCCGATGATTCACTCCCCAAGTGAGCGCAACGGGCCGATACTATGCCGATCCGAAGCCAGGAGCCTCTTCCGGGTCTCCCACGCGGGTGCAGGGTCCCAAAGCTTTGGGCCGTCCTTGACTGCTTTCCCGGGCCACAGGCAGGGAGCTGGAAGGGAAGCGGGGCTGCCGGGATTAGAACCGGCGCCCATATGGGATCCTGGGCGTGCAAGGCGAGGACCTTTAACCACTTGCGCCACCGCGCCGGGCCCCACAGTTAAAATCTTGTGCTTTTTGGATTTATGTCTGATTTTTAATTGATGCGGCATTTTTGTTATCTCTGCATTTTCTGTTTTTTGAAACTGTTATATGCTTTTGCTGTTTTAAAGGATCTATCTCTTTGTTTCAGCCTGTTACTTTTTTAATGCTGTGTCTTCGTTATTGGCATATTTTGGCAGTGTAGTAGTGGTGGAGCACTAAAATTGTTATTTCGTTGATATTATAATTTATATATTTATTTGGAAGGTAGAGTAACAGAACAAAAGTTCTGTTTTTAATTAAATTTTTAATTTGCTGGTTGCTTTACTCCCTAAATGGCAGTAGCAGCCAATATTAGGCCAAGCTGAAGTCAGAAGCCAAGGAACCTGAACTCCATCCAGGTTTCCCACATGAATGACAGGAGCTCAGGTACTTCAGCCATCACCTGCTGTCTTCCAGGCTCATGCAGAGGAAGCTAGATCAGGGCTCACTGTGGTGGTCTAGTGGCTAAAGTCCTCATCTTGAATGTTCTGGGATCCCATATGGGTGCTGGGTTCTAATCCTGGCAGCCCCGCTTCCCATCCAGCTCCCTGCTTGTGGCCCGGGAAAGCAGTAGAAGATGGGTCAAAGCTTTGGGACCCTGCACTCGCGTGGGAGACCTGGAAGAGGCTCCTGGTTCCAGCTCTTGCGGCCACTTGGGAAGATCTTTCTCTCTGTGTCTCCTCTGTGTATATCTGATTTTGCCATAAAAATAAAGAATTTTTTTTTTAAAGTAAGCTAGATCAGAGGCACTAAGTAGTCAGGACTTGAACTGGCACTCCCATGTGTGATGCTGGTGGTTCAAGCAGCAACTTAACCCACTGCATCAGAAGCTGTCTCTTTTAATATGTTTCAATGTTTTCCTTTATTTCTCCAAAGAGTCTCTTTAGTTATCATCTTATTTTCTAGAGGAAAGTCTTTTGAATCTAAGGAATGTCTTGTATTTTTAAGGATAAATAACTTGGTATTATTCTGATGACTGAATTATGTGCTGCTGACAGTGGGGCCCTGAAGGTTGTTGTTTAGCCTTAGGTTAAAGTGGGTTATGCTCTAAGCCTAGCTACAATTGCAAGACTGCATAGGTGATAAATTATAATGTGGAGAAGAATTGTGCTGTAATAATTCTCTATAGTGGAGATTCAGTTTTCATTCCCTTTGCCCAAAATGCCCTCTCAACTCCATGTTCCACAGCCTTATTTGCTGTTTTATTTGCTGTTATAGTTCCAGCACCTAATTTACTGTCTGGCACATGGTGGACAAGAAATAAATTTCAAGTGAATAAACACCTACTACACTATTCTTTCTTGGAGGCCAAATCTTCTTGTGTAGTGTTGAGAATTCCAAACAGTTTACTTGAAATTTCTTCCAAATCCTAGATCATTTTCAAAGGTACCATCTCTGCCTCTTTAGGATTATGTTTCCTTTGTGGATGACATTTTTGGGGGTTCATTTTTCCCCTGCACATACTTTTTGCTAATCATTTATGAAGTATCTGTGTGACTTGACATCTGCTAATAAACAGTGGTTGGTGTAGTTGATAGGAAGCTTTCTACTTGGGAAATGGATGTATTTTACTTTCAGGTCTCCAGCTAAATGGCCGATTAATGTGCATACCTCTCAAATATCACATTGCTAGCAAACATTCATCTGGTACAGCTCTTTTCTCCTAGGATGACATCTTTTCTTGCCCCTGCACTCTGGTTGCAGGTGAAAAAGTACTGTGTTAGCACTGTCCTAGCTGTAGCGTTTACCTGTTAGATATCCACTTTGCAGGATACATTGTGACACCACTGCTTGGTTGTCCACCCAGTTACCTTAAGGGTTATTCTCTAAATGGATGTAGAAAGATGATGGATAGAGGGATAAGCAAGGATGAAATTTAACATTTTCATAAGAAATCCCTGATTGGTGGATGTAGACTGCCTACTTTTCTAGATGCTAAAGCCCGTGGGCCTTCTGAGTCAGGAGACAGTGGGCTAATATAAATTGCCCTTTAATACCCTCCTCTCTTTCTCCTTTTTAAGTTAATCTCTGTTTTTGTGAGGCACTGATAGTCATCAATACAGTGCCATTAATCTTATATAAGTGCAGGAGACGGGACTGTGCCCTTGCTTTCTTGCTCTTTCACTCTGCCTTCACTGATGAATTAATTAAATAAAAACAAGCTGAAAAGAGTAGGTAGTTACCCCCACATCCAGGTGTTAGGGTTTTTGGTAAACATTCTTTTCCTTTTCTATGTTCATATTCAAGTGGAAAGAGGCAAAAGGCCAGACATAATTTGAAGCCTGGAGTTTGATAAGGCTGACTTAGCTAAGTTTTTATGACTCGAACTGGTTGCTTGAGTCCTGTCTCAGAGCTGTCTTCTTTGGTTGCAGGCTTTGCCCCTTCTCCCAAAGCTACATTTCTCTCAATTCTGTTTGCTTTTCTCTCTCACTCTTCTTTAACCATAACAGGACTGCCCTCCCCCATCCCATAGTAGAATGGCTAGGAAGACTTTACTCTTTAATAAGGTCAGACCCTTGTTTGAAGACTTTAAAACCTTTTGCTAGATTATGTTCTGAGTTTCTGATAATCAAGAAGCAAAGAGAAAGAGGGGTTGAGTGAAATTGTGCTAGAACTTGAACCTGTGAAACACCAAGGCCTGTTCCAATATGAGAGGGTTGCCAGCTGGCAATGGTAGTAGAAATTAGTCTCTAGAAGGGGAAGCTAACTGTAGAGTACTCATAGTTAAGACTTAACCACAGAATATCTGGGCTGTTGGAAAAATTGTTTCCCTCCCCCCTCCATGTCCTCCTCCCTCCCCCTGTTGGTGATGGAGTGGGAATTTAACATTTCCCTAGGTCCAATGTGGCTTGTTTAGAGATATAATTGAACCTGTTTGTCTTGTCCATTGTGATGTGATAGCTGCATAGGAAGGGTCTGTGTTGTGTGGGAGTTTGTTTCAGGCTGTGTCCTTGCCTGTATTGTTTCCTTTAACAGTTTTTTAAATTTTCTTTTTCCAGCAATGATGTTGTCCACTGGGCATGTACTGACCAATGTGGCAGGTCTGAGAACATAGCTGAAGCTGAAAATAGGAAAGCTGGGGGCAAGGAAGAGCCTTGAATCTTGAGGTGGGACGTTGACTCTAAGATGTCCTTGAGCAGTGGAGCCTCCGGAGGGAAAGGAGTGGATGCAAACCCGGTTGAGACATACGACAGTGGGGATGAATGGGACATTGGAGTAGGGAATCTCATCATTGACCTGGACGCCGATCTGGAAAAGGACCAGCAGAAACTGGAAATGTCAGGCTCAAAGGAGGTGGGGATACCAGCTCCCAATGCTGTGGCCACACTACCAGACAACATCAAGTTTGTGACCCCAGTGCCAGGCCCTCAAGGGAAGGAAGGCAAATCAAAATCCAAAAGGAATAAGAGTGGCAAAGACACTAGCAAACCCACTCCAGGGACTTCCTTGTTCACTCCAAGTGAGGGGGCAGCTAGCAAGAAAGAGGTGCAGGGGCGCTCAGCAGACGGTGCCAATGCAGGAGGCTTGGTTGCTGCCATTGCTCCCAAGGGCTCAGAGAAGGCGACTAAGGCATCTCGCAGTGTAGCTGGCTCCAAAAAGGAGAAGGAGAACAGTTCGTCTAAGAGCAAGAAGGAGAGAAGCGAAGGAGTGGGGACTTGTTCAGAAAAGGATCCTGGGGTCCTGCAGCCCGTTCCATTAGGAGGACGGGTTGGTCAGTATGATGGAAGTGCAGGGGTGGACACAGGCGCTGTGGAGCCACTTGGGAGTATAGCTATTGAGCCTGGGGCAGCGCTCAATCCTTTGGGAGCTAAACCGGAGCCAGAGGAAGGGGAGAATGAGTGTCGCCCGCTAAAGAAAGTGAAGTCTGAAAAGGTAAGAGGTGGCCAGATCTGGCTGCCCATTGCTAGTCAGAACTGCTTTGGACTAACCACCAAATGCTGTGTGTACTCTGTGGGAGGCTCATTAGTTTGTGGGTAATGACCAATTACAAGGTCAGAGCAGCTGGTAATGATAATGTGGTTTTGTTCCAAATTAGAGGATTCCCTGCTGACTCATTTGCAGCAGGCCTGGACATTTTGGAAAAGAATATCTGTTGTTGGGGGCAGCTACTTGGGAGAAGGTATTTTTTGAATTCTGAATTGAGGTACTCCCATTTTGTCTTTGTCCCACCTCAGGCATGTATTGCTAGAAGCTGGCATGAAATCTTTATGCGATTCACAGTTTGATTGGCATTTTGTCATCACAGTCAATGGTTGATAAACTTATTAAGCTTTTGGTTAAATGTATAGGTTGTACGTTGTTGTTAATGGGATAAATGGTGCTGCTGGTTCTCTGGTAAAAGAGGTTAATTAAGATTCATGGGGTATATCTTAAATATTCTCTTGGTGATTACTAGGAACAAAGGGCCACAGGTAAGCAAGGAGCAGTAGGTCATACCTGTACTGTGAGGTGCTGAAACAGACTTTAGGAATTATGTTTTGGCTATGAAGATTTCGCCTAGAAAGAGATTCTTTGACCACTAAAGTTGCAGCACTTTGGCAGATATCTTCTGCAGCTGTTGGGAATCAGAGTTCTCTCATGGTTCTATTGCTGCCAAATAATGTAATAGTACTTTACCTTCTGCTCAACTTGGAAGGATGGGTACCTGTAGTCCCCCTACGGGGACATTGCTGAGTCCCCTGCTCTGGGAACACGGTAGGTGATGCCTCAGGAAATAGAGCTAACAGGCCTGGAACAAATAGATGTGCTTTTATGGTCAGCTCATGTTTTCTTAAACTTTAAGTTTACAGTTTCCTACAAGGCTACTGTCCTGATGATGAGCTATTCATCGGCTCTTGATTTTCTACTCTGTGCTCTGCCTGCCCTATACTTTCAGCTGATCCCAGCAGATGCAGCCTAAATTGATTTCTTCATAATTACATCAGCTGCAGCAGGGAATACCAATTTCCATGTATAAGTGTTAATAATAAATAAAGACTGGATGTGTATGTTTGGGTGGGGATATCCTCTTAGTGCCTGGATTTTAGTGGTAGCCTCTGGCACTTCTGTAGCTTTTAGTAATATCTAGGCTTCTCCTAGTAACAGAGCTGTGAATTTCTTTCACTAATAACACAGTGGCTCATTCCCATTTCCCAGTAGCAGCTGCCAGAGAGGCAGCCTGTGTTTAGGTGGCAGATGCTATAGTCCACCTCAGCAGAGTCAAGTTCCAGCTGGTACTGGCATGGTTCATCCTGTGCTGGCTGTGATTTGCCATTTTCTCTGGGGTACAGATGGATAATACTGTTTTAAAGAGGCCTAGGAGTCCTAGAAGTCCTTGCTTCTGTTCCACGCCTATTAGACTGTTCCCTACATCTGGCTGCAGGAATTGTGTCATATATCTGTGCCCATAATTATTCTTCCTATTCTGAAAAACGCTTCTGAGGGTGGCCTTCATTTTCTTTTCTGTTTAGAGTACTTCCCTCATGTTGCAACCCTCCAAGCCTAGTAGCTGGTGAGTGAAAGGATTAATATTGCTTGGCCTCATGTTGGATTTAAGTCTAAATGTTCACGATTGTCTCCAACAGAGAAACAAATGAAAGCCGTTTCCACTCAGATGGGTGCAGGGACTTGTTGGGTGATTTCCCTTCAGATTATAATTGGACTGAAAGATGTAGTGTATTTAGCTAAGAATATACCTTAGAGCCAAGGAATCTTGCCCCCTAATAATAGGATTTTGCTGTGAGACTTGCTTCCTAGGGAGACAGAGAATAGGGCAGTTGAGTGAGAACAGAATGAGTGTGCTTCAGTTTTTGAAAGAGTGATGAATTGCTAAGAACTTTTAGCAGCAGAGAATGTGCTGTGCAGTATGATGTTCCAAAGAGCCTGCTTTTTCAGTTCCTTCTCCTGTGCCCTCAACCCTTTTGGAAAGTCTAGTTCTTGGGGTGACTTACCATACTGCCTTTGGCCAGTGAAATAAATAACTATTTAAGTGTTTGGAAGTTGCTAGGAGATGAAAACACTCTTTAGGGAGAGAGCATTCTGGAAGTGAAGGAGGGGAACATGCAAATTAAAGAGTCAGGAGCCTGTTAGTGGAGCAGATACTAAGAAACAAGAACCAAAAGAGTTGGGGTAATAGGTGTTCAGACAGTGTTTGACAATTGGTACTATGATTTATAGGCAAAGTCTTTGAAAACCTTTTGAGATTTTGTTTCTGAGATACTGGCTTGCCTATGGCCTAACTGGTTTGGAATGTTCCTTCTGTGTAAGGACAACCAGCAAAACCAAAACAGCAAAACAGATGTTTTGATATGATCTAGGAATTGCATTACTCTAAGCTGGGAACTGTCATGTAAAGGGAAAACTCATAAAGTTTGAAAGTATCTTAACTGGAGTCATTCCCCCCACTCACTCCTTTGGAAATAGGGCAGAAGACCATGGTGTCTGTGGTTCCGGGCAGGATTCTTACATGTAGAGTATCAGCTAATGAAAGCGATTGGAGTATTCATGTAATCTGCTTTATGGCCTTCTCTCTCTGCTAGGTACACACCTCAGGCTGTGGCTGATGGAATTTTCTATAAGCCAAGGAGCCAAAGATATGAATTTCTGTCCGTGGGATCCCACTTTTATTCCTCTGCATCTCTGGCAGGATGCCCTGTGTTGTTTCCCAGAGTTGTAGGAGAGACTAGAGATGGCTCTTAGCAAACGCAGCTGCCCCAGAGTTGTAGCAGAACACTCCTGCCTTATGCTTCCTGCCGCTGAAGAGATGGGGGAGGGCACGTTGAGGAATAAACAAGACAGAGCTTTCCGGCTCCTGTCTGTTCCCTTGCCTTTGGTTTGATTGATAGGTTGTTAAGTTAAGGATGGAAAGGGAGGGAGTGCGTCCGTCTGAGTGTCCTGAGTTTAGTGCTTGTGTCGCCACTCTGACAGGCAAGAAAAGAGGAATTTACAAATCACAGATGGCAGTGATCCATCTGTGCTGACTCTGTCACAGCCTATGACCAGCTGTTTAAGGGGAGATTCTCTTTTTCTCTTTTCCAAGTCATGGATGGTGACCAGTAGGCTCTAATGGTCCAAGAATCTAGGAATTTGCAACCAGAAGTTCCTGGTTTCTCTTTAGCTGTTGTTTTGATCTTGCAAGTTAGGGGCATTCAGCCTTTGCCATGTTTGTGTCAGCTCTATTCCTTTCAGAATGCTCCCTATGTTTACTACTTCTGCTTTAGTTTAGAATACAAAGAGAACAATTGAATGTATTCTTTGCTTTCTGGCCTTCTGATCATGTGTGTTATCATGTCATGTGTCCTCAGAGCATCTTCCTTTGCCCTTGGTTATGTGTTCGTGTCCTACTTTATGCCTTCCAGCTCATTTTTCTTGTGTTGCAATTTCTCATTGCCCAACCAAGGTTAGTTCTCTTTTATTCCTTCACATCCAAGGCTCTTTTTCTTCATGCTGTCCTTTCTCAGCTATTGGTGACACAGAAGTCAGTCTTGCTTTCTAAAGCCAAATATCCTCAAGCATTTTCCTTTATGGAAAAAATAACACAAGTTGATATTTATATGGGACGGAGTCACGTTCTCTAATTGAAAACTTAAACTATTTTTTAATTCAGCAGTTCTATTTTCCTGCTGTGTACTGCAATCCAAAGAAGGTCCAGAAAAAGATTTGTCTAATTTCCTCATTTTTAAAAAAAAGATTTATTGATTTTTCTTGGAAAGTCAGATATACAGAGAGGAAGATCTTCCATCTGATGGTTTACTCCCCAAGTGACCGTAATGGCTGAAACTGAGCCAACCTGAAGCCAGGAACCAGGAGCTCTTCTGGGTCTCCCATGTGGGTGCAGAGTCTCAGAGCTTTGGGCCATCCTCAACTGCTTTCCCAGGCCACAAGCAGGAAGCTGGATGGGAAGCAGGGCCACTGGGATTACAACTGGTGCCCATATGGGATCCCGGGCATGCAAGGTGAGGACTTTAACCACTACGCTATTGCGCCGGGCCCATTTCCTCATTTTTTCAATGGCAGAAATTTAAGACCAAGAAGATCATGTGTCTTTCTCAGAATCTTATAGATAGTTGCAAAGCCAAGTTCAGAAATCAGGTTTCTGGATGTCCAATTTTTTTTTTTAATACTTATCTTTATTCTAAAGGTGAAGTTCTGGAGAGAGAGACAGAAAGAGTTCTTCTATCTAGCTGAGGCCAGGCTAGGCTGAAGCCAATAGAATAAATGTCCACCTGAGTCTCCCATATGAATGGGTGGCAGGGACCTGAGTACTAAGGCCTGCATCCATTGTTTTCCTCTGTGCGTTATAATGCTGGAACGTGGAGCAGAAGTGGAGCATCTGGGCCTGCTGAGGAGATGATGATGCTACAGTTAGCTGCCTGGCCCTGTGTACCACAATGGGCCTGGACATTCAGTTCTTAACAACATGCTGTTACTCTGGGATTTTTTTTCCCCTTTTAGTAATACACTCTTTTTACTATTTTATTTTGTTCATTTGAAAAGAATATATATGCAATAAAATATGTTAAAATTCATACAATAAATGATATTTTATTATTTGAGAGAAGAGAGATCAAAAAAGATCTCCCATCCCCCATTCAGTTTACTCTCCAGATTTCTGCATCAGCCAAGGTTGGCCCAGGCTGAAGCCAGGAGTCAGGAATTTGGTTCTGGGATCCCAACTACATATTGCAGTTTAACCATTGTGGCACTTGTACCTGCTCCCATTTACTTCTTTCATTATTATTTATTTGAAAAGCAGAGACAGAGAAGGATTGCCCATCTACTAATTTACTACCCTGCGATAGCCAGGCTTTGGCTTTGAAGCCAGAATTCAGAGCTAAATTTGGGTCTGCCACGTAGTAGAATCCCAGTTGCTTGGTAAATATTGCCCAGCGTAT